TATATATATATATATATATATATATATATATACATACATATATATATATATATATATATATATATATATATATATATATATATATATATATAATACATGTATGTATGTGTGTATGTGTGTCTTTGTGCGTATGTGTGTGATATGTATATACGTAATTACACATGTAAGTATGTGAACTATTATGTAAATATGTAAGCAATTATTTCTGTGTTAATATTGATATCTCAACTTTCCAGTAAAAAACGTTATCTGTTCTTCACGTTCAGCTTTAGACTAAAATAATAATAATATAATATATAAATTATTCATGTGCATTAATGATCCGAAAGCCTGTTCTTTAAATTTGTATTTAATGCCCGCTTCGGCTATTAGATTAACATCATAATCATTTTGTCTGCTACCTGAATATTAGGGGACAAATAATATCTAAGCCGATTATGCAAATGACACGATGCCTCAGTTATAAATCAGACTTATAGCGTCCAGTATTTAAGGTAACGTGTTACCTCTTTCCGTACGACAGGTAACGATTGTATGACGTCATCGAAAATCTGAATTTGGAGCAACATGTACGTTCTGATATTGTGATTTTGTTGTTATGTAAAACTTTGTAATTCCATAAAAGTTATGTTGATTTTATTTCATTTGGTACTGATCAGTGGAATCTGTTTCTCTCGCGCTCTCGTCTCTCTCTCTCTCTCTCTCTTTCTCTCTCTCTCTCTCTCTCTCTCTCTCTCTCTCTCTCTCTCTCTCTCTCTCTCTCTCTCTCTCTCTCTCTCTCTCTCTCTCTCTCTCTCTCGTTCTCTCTGTGGTTTTTACCACCTAGAAAGATTAGGTTCGAGTTCTTATCAGGGAGGGTATATATTCGTGTATATATATATATATATATATATATATATATATATATATATATATATATATATATGTGTGTGTGTGTGTGTGTGTGTGTGTGTGTGTGTGTGTGTGTGTGTGTATGTGTGTGTGTGTGTGTGTGTGTGTGTGTGTGTGTGTGTGTGTATATATGTATATGTGTGTGTGTGTGTGTGTGTGTGTGTGTGTGTGTGTGTGTGTGTGTGTGTGTGTGTGTGTGTGTGTGTGTGTATGTGTGTGTGTGTGTGTGTGTGTGTGTGTGTGTTGTGTGTGCGTGTGTGTGCGTGTGTGTGCGTGTGTGTATACACGCACACACACACACATATATATCTATAACTATATACATATATACATATAAGTCGGCGCCACCTGGAGCCGAGGAAGGAGTGGGCGCGCCACCTGCAGCGGAGGAGACGGGCGAGGCGCCACCCGGAGAACACTCAGAGGAAGCGATCGAGATCAAGCCAGAGATTCCGGTGATTACCCGCGCTCGATGGCTCCTTTGAACAAACTTGGAACGCGACTAACTCCGGCACCAAAACAACTTTGAACGGGACCAAGTTAGCGCCGGGCTTTGTCGCTGCATCGCCGCCGGCCCTCGCTAAATCCCCCCCACATATCAGCTGTTGCCCGCCCTCATCAGCCGGCCAGTTGCTGACGCCGGAAGGGGACCAGGAGGCCGCTTGCCACGCCGCCCTAGGTTGCGGTGGAGGCTAATTGTTCCTCGCTCATATATATATATGTGTGTGTGTGTGTGTGTGTGTATACTTATTTGTTTGTCCGTTTGTTCAACAACCACATATTGCAGGTCTTAAGCCTCTCTCAATTAATTATTGAGAGTTTATTTGGCAGTAGAACCCTTGCCTGAGTGGATGCCCTTCCTAATGAACCGCGGTTCAACGTGCTGGCGCTTGTGCCATGGCAGTGACTGCCGTGGTAGTGGAAAGGTGCAACATTCAGACCAAAGACTTGTCTTCACATATGCACTGAAAATATAGTGGGGAGGATTGTAACATAGAAGGTCTCATTAGGTTCCTAACGGAGACTAATATTTTAAACAAAATTTAATAATGCATATTGTTTATGTAGTAATTTCATACTTTTAAAGCATAACATTTATGCTTTGATTATCAATGTACCATTTATTGTTATTGTTAGGAGCGCCAGCAGGTGAGGCCCCAATGCCCAGGTCTCCAGCACGTAGTGAGCCCTGCGCTAGTGATCCGCTAGTGACCACGGCCTCTGTGAGCAGGAACTCAACACCTAGTGATTCTCTAATTTGTAGTGAGAAAGAGCAGGACGTCTGGCTAGTAATCTGCTAATGAGAGACTGAGTCCAAGTAAAGGAAGTCAATGAAGTCAAACGGATGCTGCGTCGCCACTGCAGGTCAGAAACATGGAAGGCAATCGTTTTGAAGAAGGAACCTTTTGAGTTAAATAAAAGCAAAAAAAAAAAAAAAAAAAAAAAAAAAAAAAAAAAAAAAAAAAAAATATATATATATATATATATATATATATATATATATATATATATATATATATATATATATATATATACATATATGAATTTAAAAAGAACAAAACAATCATTTTAAAAAATAGTTACTAGTCGAAGAGGATACAGAACTAGA